AAAAAAAAAAAGTAGCCGCATGGCTATACTCGGGAATTTTTTTTTTTAATTTAAAAAAGAAGACTATAACCAAGCGGCCTTACTGGGGTCTTTTTAAATATTTTTTTTTATAAATAGTATAGTCGCATCGCTATACCCATTACATAGATACTATGCTCATTTTATAAAAAAAATTGGTTTTCCCTTATTTTTGTTTATCGATAATTTAGAGGATTACCCATTACTATTAGGTCATTACCCGAGTTTCTATTGTTCCCTTTTGAGTTTTTATTTTTCCATAGTTATTACCCGTATAAATAATTTAGCATTTTCACATTTAATACTTGTAATGTACACTTATGTACGTATTTCTCATGTTTAATAAACTTGATTTTTTACAAAAATTTTCAATAATACACACAAAATTCACGTATTATATACATAATTTTTCGCATATTATTGAATAAAAATAATATATTTTAAATAATATAAATATATAAATTATATATATTGAAACTAGGAAATTAATATTTATAAAGTATAAACTAATGCAACTAGAAGGTCTCTTTTTAATATTTTTTTTCAATAAATAGTATAGCCGCACGGTAATACTCCTTTTAAATAAAATACAATTACAGCATATAGCCGCTTGGCTATACTGTTTTGACACGCGCTAGGCCCTAGGTGCTAGGCGCTAGGCGAGTCCTCTTTATTTGTTTTTATTTTTTTAATTTATAAACAGTATAGCTGTCTGGCTAATACTCGAGATTTGTTTTTTAAAAAGAAGCGTATAGCCGCCCGGTTTTACTGGGGTCGTGTTTTTTTAATTTTTTAATTTATTTATAAATAGTATAACCACGCGGCTATACTCTTTACATAGATACTGTGATTTTTATTTTAAATTGGTTTTCCCCGATTTTTGTTTATCGATAGTTTAGAGCATTATCCATTACTATTAGGCCATTACCTGAGTTTCAATTGTCCCCTTTTGAGTTTTTACTTTTCCAGAGTTATAACTCATATAAAGAATTTAGCATTTTCACGTTTAATACTTGTAATGTACATATATGTACATATTTTTCATGTTTAATACACTTAGTTTTTTACAAAATTTTCAATAATACACACATAATTTTCGATATTATTGAATAAAAATAATATAATTTAAAAAATTTAAATCTAGAAAGTATATATATCGAATCTATCAAATTAATATCTATAAAGTATAAACTCATGCAACTAGAAGGTTTTTTTTTTTAATAAATAGTATAGCCACTCGGCTATACGCCTTTTGAATATAATATGCTTACATAGTAGAGCCGCGCGGCTATACGCGTTTTGTAACGTCCTAGGCGCCAGGCGCTACTCTTTTATTTTTCTGTTTTATAGACAGTATAGCCGGCTGGCTATACTCGGGATATTTTTTTGCGAAGAGGAGTATAGCCGCGCGGCGGGACTGGGGGCCTTTTTAAATTATTTATTTTTATAAATAGTATAGCCGGTCGGCTATACGCTTTACATAAAAAAAAAAAAAAAAAGGTTTTCCCCCATTTTTGTTTATCGATAGTTTCGAGCATTACCCATTAGTATTAGGTCATTACCCAAGTTTCTATTGTCCCCTTTTGAGTTTTTACTTTTCCACAATTATTACCCGTATAAAGAATTTAGCATTTTCACTTTTAATACTCGTATTGTACACGTATGTACTCATTTTTCATGTTTAATACACTTGGTTTTTTACAAATTTTTCAATAATACATACAAAATTCACGTATTAATGGTTTTTTTTTTCTCCACACATTCTCTATATGTATTTATATTTAGTTTAATCTTGAAATTTGTATGTTTTTTTTATATGCGTAATATTCTCATATAACAATGTCAGATATTTGGCAAGAGAACGTTACTCTTATTTCACATGTTTATTAATCTCGAATTTGTGATATTTGACGAGAGAACATTACTCTTATTCCACATGTTTATTAATCTCGAACTTATGGTGACATTGCAGGAAGGATGGTGCCTGATGCCAACGCGGCAGAGTATTCGAAACAGTACCTTGAGGTGATACAACCAAGCTCCCTTCAGGAAGCCAAGTTTTCCAGGTTCAAATTCTGAATGAGTACCCAAGTGGATGCAGAATTGGGCAAATCCATCTGAGTTGTGGCTCTTCATTTTGAAAGACTCATACGTCCTCAAATATTGAGGCCCGTGGGCAACAATGAGTGCCTTGTTAATAATGGGATCCCCATTGCCACTGGTGCAACTATCTCTTTTGAATATGCCTCACCAAACCCGCTCCCTTTCTGTTTCCTCCCTATTCTGCTCAGTTTAATTAATGTTTTTGGTATCTAGCGTCAGTGATTAATAATGCTACTAGTCTTGATACTATGTAATGCTAGCATAATCTGCCTATCAAATTGAGATTTAATCCAATATATTTCCCACCTGGCCATGGTTTACATTTGGGATATCTTAAGTTTGAATTTCCTCTTGATTGGGTTGTGAGATGTTTGGATGAAGACAAGGCCAGCCTTAATGTTTATGTACCTAATAAAGCTAACCTAATTCATCCAAGGTACCCAAAATGAATTTTATGAGTCCATGAAGTTTGATTGAATAACTAGACAAGAACTTACATTTCTTTTTCCCTGTCAAACAATAAATAATAATAATGCTATATTGTAAAGTAAAAATCCATCGCTCACTTGTATTATTGCATTCATTTTTATATTGTAGAATGTGATTTAAGAACACTACGTGACAATGTTAAATTCAAAAGAAAGTATCATCGCATTCATTTTTATGTTGTAGAACGTGATTTAAGAACACTACGTGACAATGTTAAATTCAAAAAGAAAGTTTCGATGGATATTCATTATTCCTTGATAAAAGGTTTGACTTAATAATGAATATTTTAAGCCAACGAGGTCTAGTCGAGTGAAAAAATGACCTTGACTTGCAGATCAGTGGTCACAGATTCGAATCCTCAAGACAAATGTGGGTGAGAGAAACTCCCTAGGCTCCCTCCTAACTTTGGCCAAAAAAGAAGAAGAGTATTTTAGTCCATTTATCCAAATCTGTGGGGTCCATGAACATGAATGAAATCAAGCCCATTGCCTTCACAGTTCACAGTTCACACTTCACGGCTGTATTTTCAATTCTCATCCCAAAAAGGGAAGTCCTGTTTTGGCGTGTGAATTTTGAGAACCGACATAAATGGCAAAGGACAGGTGGTGTAGAAATGTATGGTCACAGCTTGAATTTCACATGATGCATACACACTACTTGACACTCATTTGATTTTCTGTCAGCAACCAAAGCAAAAAGAAATGTGAAGGCTGTAAAATTAAAGTATCGAGTATGTTCTTTCTAGTTGCAGCCTTTAAGTAAAATGTGAATTCATTAGAGAGACAAAAAGCACTTGGCCGCCTTTCCCTTCCAAAATAAAGCACTTACAAATATGTGTCAAATTTTCAATGATCCAACAGCACTTTGTTTCTGTTGACTAGAAAGTTGCTTGTAGCCTTGTATTGATATTATAAAGTGTTGATGCTCATCTTAGACTTTTAGTTCTTTCATGCTCTTTAGACTTTGTCCTCTCCACTTGCACATGAAAACTTCTGCTAAACAATTTCTCCAAATTATTTCCTTGGAGTAGTTCTTTGTGAAAGATTACTACCCCCTACCAAGCTGAAGGTGCCCTAAATTCTCTCGTCGATTTGTAGAGAATCGAAAATGGGAAAGACTTTGGTTCTAGCATTCTACATAACCATATGCTGCATTGCTTTTGTGATATCAAAGATTGTTATTTCAGTCCTCATCTATAGGCGATGGAAGAGAAAGAAAGTGGTTTTTGAAGATGGCTTCTCCGGTATATGGTTGAGATTTTGCATGTAAAGTATTTCGCTTGTTGAAAAGGGAAGAGAAGTATGCTAATTAATGTATTGTAAATGTAATGTACATGTGCAGGTGGGAAAATGGTTTTGTTCAGGGCTTCTGCAATGCAATCTCTCAAATCAGATACATTCTTAAAGAAGACACTCAAGTTGAGCAACAAGGACATCATTGGCTCTGGAGGCTATGGGACAGTTTATAAACTGACAGTAAATGAGTCCATAGCCTTTGCTGTGAAAAGATTGAACAGAGGAAGTGCAGATAGAGATCGAGGCTTCGAGAGAGAGTTAGAAGCGATGGGGGACATAAAGCACCGCAACATTGTGACCCTTCATGGATATTACACTGCTCCAAACTACAATCTTCTTATATATGAATTGATGCCTAATGGAAGTTTGGATGCAGTTCTACAAGGTATGATATCTCAAATTTAGTTAAGCCAAGGTTTTAGTATTGAGTTCTGAATTAATTATTTAAAAAATAACTATATAGTGAAGCAAATTCCATGGTTTTAACTTTTATATTGTCTGATCATCTGGTAAATTTTGATGCAGGAAGATCAATGGAGAAGAAGCTTTTGGATTGGCCTTTCAGATACAAAATAGCACTAGGTACTGCAAGAGGAATATCATACCTTCATCATGATTGCATCCCTCACATAATCCATAGAGATATTAAATCAAGCAACATATTGTTGGATCAAAACATGGAGGCTAGAGTTTCTGACTTTGGACTGGCCACTTTGATGGAACCAGATAAGACTCATGTTTCAACACTTGTAGCTGGAACTTTTGGATACTTAGCTCCTGGTACAGTTGCAGTACTTACCACCCAATTATTAAGTATATTTTCAGTAACATGCTGCTTAATTACCTTCTGGTGTATTGGTATAAGACACATAAATTTTTTTCTGCAGAATATTTCGATACAGGAAGAGCAACAGCAAAAGGGGATGTTTACAGTTTTGGAGTGGTTTTATTAGAACTACTAACTGGAAAGAAACCTACAGATGAAGCATTTATTGAGGAGGGTACAAAGCTTGTGACATGGGTAAGTAAACCCAGCCATTCTTTTGCTAAATGATCTGTTCAGACAATTTCACCAAATTTCCATGTTTTTGTAGTATTTTCAATCTGTTCTTGTTCAAATTCAGATATCACTGCCCAGGCGACTTGTTAATCAACAAAATAGTCTCTAGTATTGCTTTCGTCATTGATCAGTAATTGATCTACTTGCTAATCAATCGGTTAACGATGTTGCAGGTGAAGGCAGTTGTTCAGGACAAAAAGGAGGTGTATGTGATTGACAGTAACTTAGGGTGTTGTCCAACCGATGAGATTAACAATGCCTTTAGTATTGCTTTAATGTGCCTTGAACCAGAGCCTTCCATGAGGCCTACCATGGTTGAGGTTGTCAAGATGCTTGAGCAGATCAAAAATAACGAAGTTGTAAAAGAGACTTAAATCATATGATTAATGCATCTCCTTTCTTTTAGACAATGTATAGATTCTATACATCAGTTTATGCCCTCAAAGTGTTCCTAGCCTTCTTATAAAGAGCTTTCTTCCAGCATTTCTCTCAGATATGCAGAAGTGATGAGTAATTGAAACATACATTCTTTGTTTCAGCCCTTTATCTGTAAGCAGTAAGCACTAAATTATGTTGTAGATTGTACTTTAATCTAATGAGATTACCCTCACCCTAGACCCTGGCCATAGCAGAAGCCAATAAACAAATTCTAATGCCATAATTACATGATTGGATCCAGAGGTTATAAGGTGCAAGCAATTACTTTTTCCTTTAAAGAATTGAAGCTTACCGCTAGACTAGATATGATTAATTTAAGACGAGATCAAAGACTTGCCAATAAGGATACAACAACCTAGCTCAAGTTTATAAATAAGATAGGTGAGAAAAATATTTTCTTTTAGATTATACATCAATTTCCTTGTCAAGTAGGTACATAAACAGATACATAGAAGAAAGATGACAGCTCAAGTAACCTTTTTCTTTTTTGCTAAGCAGCTCAAGTGACAAATAGACAGACATACAGCAGTTGAATAAAACCATATCTCCAAAAATCAAAAGAAGCAAAAGGCTAACTTGTGTCAGCTACTTGAGGACTGATTCCAGTCCATTCACAACGGATGATTTTAAGGAGGGAGAAACTGGAGTTTCTCCAAAGAATACATCGAAAAGAGCAGAAGCCACATTTTCTGATTCTATTGCAGCATCCACACTAGAAGGAAGCCCATCCGCGGAGATGCAAACCTAAGTATCACAATAAATCTTACTGGATAAGAATGCTTGCAGGTAAAAAAGTTGAGAAAATAGTATAAGAAAGCATAACAATAACAATGTTGGTTTAATTTTGCCAACCAGCAAAAAACACAAAGTATCAGAATGCATCTCGAGAAAATCCAAGAAAAAAAACAAGGGAAAACATAGAACACCAACAAGCCTGCATTAGTTGATAGCCATTAGAAGAAAAAAAAAAGTAGAGTAGACCTGTAAATTAGAACTTACAAGCATTTTCGAAGGGTCTGGCCAAGTCAAAAATATGAAAGTTCCCTTTTTAAGGGGTTGCCCTTGGAAGATACTACGGAATGTGGACAGTGCTGATTCATCAACAGGAGTGGGTGATTTGATTCTTGGGGAGATAGCATCATTCAAGGCATCCCAAAAAGTTTTACCATCAACATCTCTAACCAGAACAATCTGTAATGATTTCTCCAGAGGAGCTGCAATTAAAGAACAGTAATTTTAGCAACCTGTGTGTGTGTGTGTGTGTGTGCAGCAAGGAAGATGCACAAGTTTTATGATCATTACATTGAAAAATGGTGCTGAACAATGACGAATTCTCTTGAATCTCAGCAGCTGATCTTCCTTTCCAAGCATTCAAACTATTTAAGATGGACTGGTTCACATATAGCCCTGCAGCATAGACTTTAACGCCAATAATTGCAAAGACTTTTTCCCTGTATCCTGCAACCATTGCCAACATTGAAGTTATATGCTACATGCACCACAGCCAGTAGATGAAAAGCTACTATAATCTCATAACTTCAAAAGATTAACAAAAACATGGGTGTAGTTAAAAGTAGTAGGTACTATGTGACAGAACTGTTATATTAGTGTTAATAGATGAAAAGCTACTGTAATCTTTCTAATCATAACTATTTGTATTAAAACTCAACAAATGGCAATCTTTCTTTTTCTAGAATGGATACACTTTGGTATTAACTGAAGCAACTGACCAGTTCCAAGCAACGACAATGAACTCGAGCAACCTGGCAAGCTCAAAGATGTCTGAAATCTCACTTTGGTAGCAGGTTCCTCTATGTATTCTGCACTTCCAACTGTAGTTTTGTTTATATAGGGCAAACACATCAGATTTTGTAGGGAATAAAATCAAAAGAGAAAATAATAAGTGATTAAAAAGGAACAGCACATTTAATCTTGCAAATCAACACTTCATACAGTAGCTTCACATGATTGGGAATACCAGTGATCACACAATTTGATTGAACCACTACAAAGAGTTTCATGGCAAGGCATCTTATAGTAAGTGTAATTGTAAACGAATGTCATTGCCATCCAAACTTAACAGAAAGTTATTTGTCTTCACTTCTTTTAGTTATCTCAAATTTCAACAAAAAATAAGAATGAACCAGATTAATTTCTCACTTAGTGCTCAAGTTGTGTCCTTGACCTCAACTTCTCTGTGCTTTGCAATATCTCAGGCACAATTACACAACACATTGTGCAGTTGTGAATTGTAACTGGTAGCACCATATAATAAGATCCCACTACAGATGTATATGTGCAATTATGCCACATACAAATGTAAGATCTAGAGAACCAAAATATGTGAGATTATCTCATTATAACTTGATGACATTTACAAAAAATGGTGTCATCTTTAACCAAAAAATTGCAGGGTGTCATGCTCCATATAGATAAAGTCCTAGACAAATTCAAGTTTTGTTCAGAAAGAACATGGTCTTTGCATGTATTATAAGTCCAATAATAGCAGCTTAATCTTGAGTCAAGTTTCCCCACATAAAGCCAGTGTTTTTATAGTACCTTCCTTTAATTTCATTACACCAGTGAAAAATTAACTTGATGATAATACTGTGTTCTAAATTCTATCCCCCCATATGCCCTAGCTATTGGGAATTTCATAAAGGAAAGCTTTTGTCAAGTCTAGTAGAATTCTTGTAGCTAAACTTCAGTGTTTCTAACAGAAAATTTTGTTTAATTGTAAGCCATAATAACATAATTGACTAAAGCCACCGGCTTTCAGAAATCCATCTACTCTCCGGCCAGAAATTTGATTGCTTTTTTTCCCTCAATTCAAACAAGCCTATCCAAAAATTTGACCACATTTACAAGACTTTTGCCATAGGGTTTTCTGCAGCCACACTATTATCTGATAAACATTTGAAAAACAAAACCATTTGAGGATTACATATGTGCTTTGCAAATGTAGCTAGTAGTTTAAGATGCATTTCTTTGTTCTGCATAACTGGTGGGGTAATAAAACCCAAAAACCCAATTCGGAATTACAGGGAAAATAGTCCAAAATCAGTTGCTCATCATGGCAGCTGCATTTCAAACAACACAATAACAAACCATTTAACTTCATATAACACAAGATTGAAAAGAAACCCTGTAGAAAAATGAAACGAGAAATCAGGAAGCTGATGGGTAACAGGAATTTACCTGAAGATGAGGAAGCATTGAATGTGAAACGGGTCTGAGTTCTAATGTCCTCTGGAGGAGACAAGAAAGAGCAAGAGTGGGTTTGGCACAACAGTTCATTTGGATTTGAAATTCTAGCCACAAAGCCAATTCTGGGTCTGGAAATGCAGTTTCTGGTAAATTTGGGTAATTGGAGCCTTGTTGGAGTGCAAATTGCTTGAGCTTCAAACATATTTGAATTTTTGGTGTTTCCAGGAAAACCCTTTTCCGAATTAAACTGTTTGGTAATTCAAAGACAAGATTTTGATAGGTTGAGCAAGGTGGGCTTCAGCTAGCCTGCACTCTGTTTCACTCTGCAGTAAAAAAAAACAGTACCTACACAATTTCTCCATAAATACTAAAATATTAATCGGTGGTAAGTGAAACGATCAGTTAGTTTGCTCACACACTAAAAGGCGATATAAAAGGACAATGTTGATGATGAGGGTAATGATGTGAGAGAGACGCAAAGTCACTCCACGTGGATGTTCTCAAAAGCTCCAGTCTTTGAAACTTTCCAATAGAATTCCAAGAATCCCGAACTCCAAAACGGCTCACTGATGACGACCCCAGTTAATGAAAAATAGCCGTTACATTTTGCCTTTTTCTTCACTTTAAATCCCACATTTCTCTCTATTTCTTTTCTCAGAGACCCAAAAGATCAGTTGTACTTTCTTCTTCATCATCAGTTTGGTTTCAGGCTTTCTGCACAGCTAGTCAGTAGGCAAACTTACTACTAGAACAGCTCCCTATGGCTAAAGCAGCTATCTCTCTGTTGCTCCTGCTCTTGTCCTTCACTTCAGGTACTTTATTTCACATGATTTCTTACAACATTATCAGGTTCCTTGCATTAAATTTTATCCAAACTCCCACAATATTTTAAGTGCATTCCTACACATTTGCAGAATTTTACCTCTGATTACAAATCTATTGTTGTCTTTTGCAGAAACATTGGTCATGGTAAATGGACAGGTAATATCAGGTTCCTCAAGTATGAAATATAGAAATTCAAATACAAATCTATAATTTACTTTAAACTGACCTTTTTTCTTTCTGTTATGGAAATGCAGAAGACTTGGTGTGTGGCAAAGCCTTCATCAGACCAAGCAACACTTCTAGCGAATCTAAACTACGCGTGCTCTCACGTAGATTGCCAGATACTTCGAAAGGGCTGCCCCTGCTCCTCTCCAGATAACCTCATGAATCATGCCTCTATATCCATGAATCAATACTACCGAGCTAAGGGGAACAACCAGTGGAACTGTGATTTTAGGGGCTCCGCCCTCATTGTCATGACTGATCCAAGTAAGTCACATTTCTTAGGAAGGAAGTTTTGAGAACCAACACAAAGTTCTTTCATGGAAAACCATATAATTTCATTTGATTTAGATCCTATATAATTTCATGAAAACTATTTCTACTGGTATGGTAAATGAATTATGCCATTTCATTTTTGTGTAACATTTCTTTTTGTGTTGATTTTCAGGTTATGGTGACTGCATATATGCATAATTCCCCAGTACAAGAGAGTGCATGCATGTGCTTCTTCCAAACAAAAGAAAATAAAAATCTTGGTGTATTCTGTTTGTTTGTAGAATTTAGCATTCAGTATTACCCTGTATGCAATATGGGTACGGCTGTCAAATTTTCAGTTTACCTCAATTCAATAAAATTTTAAATGTTTGCTCTCTTTTAATAAATAAAAAAGGGGGAACAGTAAACTTGTAACTCAAGTAGTGGTCGAGAGTATTTACCCTAGTACCCCGCACCTGAGATCCTAAGTTCGATTCTCCATTCTCCTACTATCGCTTGTATAAAAATAAAAAAATAAAAAAACGAGGGGGGAAAAGAAAAGCACATGCTTTTTTCAGTAATATCCCAAGCTGATTAGCATCCTATAGGCTTTTTGTTTTCATTTTCTTCGCATTGTCCTACTTCTGCATCTAAACAGGGCATTATATTATTGTGTGGGCATCCCAAGGTCCCATA